GAAATGAAAAATAATAAAGAACATGGGCAAAAAAAGAAAAAAAGGAGCATATGAATGAAATCCAGTAAGAGATGGAAAGTTGAAGGCCATTTAATCAACAGTAAAGTACTACCAAAGACATATTGTAATAAGGCAATCCAAATTGAGGAGAAGGGAATTTGGCCAATAAAGTGGGAATAGGAGGCCCATGAAGCATGTGCTAATCCAAACACATTGAGCAATACCTATTACAACCCTAACAGTTAACGAGCCTCCAAAGGTCACAGCAGAAATAAGGCCTAAGTATGAACAACATCCCACACTCGGAACTAAGCATAAAATAGCATCATTCAAGAAGCCATGATAAAATATTAAAACTTTGGAAACAAAAGCTAAATGAAATGAAAATGAAAGTTTCGTTTATAATGCAAATTGAACATGTACAAAAAAATTTAAACATGTCTGGTCAATGTAGTGCTGAAGAGAAGAATGAAGATTCACAAGTGCAAATGCATAGGGATTTAGTATGCAGGGAGATGTGTTACCCTTCTATTGGTTGAGGGCTTTTGCTGCATGATGACATCATCATGCAGTGGCACAAGTTCACAGAAATTAGGTGGGAGTTTTCACAAGGCTAATGGCATGCAAGTCTCTTTTTTCAGAACGTGCTGAAGAGCTGAGGAAGATAGCTAAACTGTGTGGGAGGTGAATATTCGTTTTGACATACCACACAAAATTAAAAATATCTATATATGTTCAACATGGAACTATTTTAAACCATAATACAAAACTCAAACTCACCAAATGCTATTTATACATTTAAAAATGAACATAGGTAGCACATGAATCTTTTGTTTGGGTAGGCTATTCTGTAACATATACTGTATAATATTTTTAAGACAGTGAAAACAAAGCTCTGTAAGGGACATTTTATTTGGGAAGGCCGTTTATTTATCCATGACAGATGTTCAAAGGGGATTACTCCCCAAGCAGTCAGAGATGAGATATCTCTTTTCACCCATTTGGGAGGCTAAGCCTTCCCAAGCCTCTCATAAGTGCCTCTCCTGACAATGAATCTCTGAGTTAAGCAGACAAAATCTAACCCTACAAATTAGGTATGGAGTAGTAGGTTGTGTGAGGCTTCAGAAAAGAAGTAGTTTGCCATATTGTTTTCAGTAACTTGAGTGGTAAGTCACATTTTTATGCTGGTTCAAACTTGGTCACCTTGTAATTATGAATTTATTCTGACCAACAACTAAAAATGTAGTGCATTCACTTTCTATTAACACAGCAAAGTTCACTTTCATCAAACTCATCCAAGCTGCAGGTTCAAGATGATCCAACACATCTTTATCTGTATGTTTGAGAGAAGCCACAGATTGTCCAAATAATTGTAGTTGAAAGTAGACATACAATGTGCTATGCCTGTTTATTACTATGGAACTGCAATATTATAGTTAAGACAATGAACTTAATCTCTTCTTAACATGCTTCAGACTGTTAATCTTGCTCTTGATGTGACTGTCAGTAGGCAAGCCCTCAGCATCAGTACAAGTGAGCTGCATCCAAGCAACAAGCAAATTGACTCATACATTATATAAGCAGATAGCAGTAGAATCTAGGCTTGGCAGTGTTGTTTCTTATTATAGATTATATGTACCCATGGCCACAGCATAGTTTGTAGTAAACTTTTACTCATGTAAGCTCTGATAAAATTATCACATCTTTCTCATCTTAATGCTATTTTTGAAACCCAGCACACCATTGGATTCAGCATAAAGTAAGGTCTATTCTGGTATAATTTCAGCAAGACTGGTCCACTTCCAGAATTAAGTGTCAAGACTGACCTAGAAAATCTGCTCAACTTAACTCAAAGGCTCTGAGTTAACATATTAATGTAAATATCCTAGGTGAATTCTACATATATATTGGATCCACTAATCAGTGCATGAACTATCTTTATTATTTCTGTATTTTCTACATAAAAATAATAAATTGAATACATGTATATTCACGTGGTTAGTAAATTAGTAAGTGTGCCATAACAACAAATTACAGTTCATTTATAATTATTGCAAGGATAAGTGACAAATAACCTTTAAGTATGAAAGAGGCTCTTCCAATTAACAATTGAAGGTCACAAATGAGTGACATTAAGAAGCTTCTATAAACATATTTTCAACATTTTTTGAAATGCATTATGCCTCAACTAGATAAGTCTGATGAAACAATCAGTAATAACTATGATATCAAAATTGATGTAAAACAATTTAAACTCATTTCTCTGCTGGCCAAGTTCAAGGCCAGTATAAAGTTCAAGTATAAAGAGTGCGTGAAGAACAATATTTGGAATGCTTAGTCCTCTTCTTATCAATTTTCTAATGGCCCAATTTGGGTTACCAACAACAAGAGTAGGGAAAAACATATCAAAAACTTTGTTTAAACCATAAGCAACCTAATCCTGACTGTGATGGAAACAAGTATGATGCTACAAAATAACAATGATTTTATATGTGAAGATAATAGGTCAATCACTATGTTAATTGGAGATGTCTAAAAACAAGTTTCGACAAGTTCATCACTAAATCTATAGGTTACACATAACTATGGCATCCACATGAGTGGTCAAAAGATCTCCTCTCATGTTAAGATTGTAAGGTAAAAACTAATATTCAAGAAGCAGATATAGAGTTTGGATGAAGCTAAAAAGTTGCACACATAAATTTTAAAATGTAGAAAATGCAAACAAAAAAATTTCCAAACACACAGTTTTCAATCTCACATGCACATTTACAAACTTCAAATACTTACAAAAACTGAATGTCTGAAAAAGGAGAAAACAAAAGAAATGTATGAGGTAGTAAGAACGATGGAAAACCAATATATATTTGGTTTCACAATGCAAGTTACTTTGATTAAAAAAAAAAAAAGACAACATAACATAATAAAATTACTATTGATACTGTTGAGGAGAGAAATGTTAAAAATAAAAATATTAAAAAAAGAAAAAAAGTACGTCACTAAAATATCGACATAAATCTATGGATTATGAAGAAACTGTCTGAAAAAAAAAGAACTTCAATAAAGTTGAAAAATAATTATAACACACAAGGTTTAGGAAAAGTATATCTAATACATTATAACTAATAATAAATTAATGATAATATAACATCTGATAATTAGCACTTTAGTTCAAAAAGGAAAATCAAACGTACATACACTATCAAGTGTAAATATAAAATTGTGCTAATAAGGTTGAGAAATACATAAAAACAAAGTTTTGGAAATGTGTGTGTATATATTATAATTAACTATAGCATATATTAAAATAGTACTTGACAAAAAAGAAAAATTTATAGTAGTTGCAGAATCAATTCAAAAGATGTAAATTTAGGGAAAGATAATTGTAAATATAGCACCAAAATGTGCTGGGGGACATCCCATTTCTTAATTTGACTTCCAAATAGTGTGTAAGGAAAAGTTAATATGCAAGAAAACAAAAGAATAAAGCTTGGGTGCTTCAACAACCAAGCAGAAAAACAGCAAAATATAAACATCAGAAAAACTTTATATTAATGAATCACATTTAGCTACAAGTCTCAATTAAAAGACAGTAACAACAAATCACTAGAAACCTCTGTCTTCTAGACATAACAACATTTGTTAATACTGGATAAAATAATTCAATGGTAAAAGTACCTAAGTGTCTAGCACTAAGTGTTATAATACTTCAGTCATTTTACTTCTATCTTTATTATATATTGACAAACACATAAGTATAGAAGAAAATAGTTGCCCAAAGTCAAACACATTTCACCCAGTTAACAAGTATGTGCATGCTGATTTTATTTTGATGTCCGTATGTAAATATGAAACACATAGCTCCATCTTTTGGAGCTAGGTCAAGAAGGAGAATAGATAAATGGCAAACACATATTCCATATCACTACAACTAAGCCAAGTACACATCTGTAAATACAAAAACGACTCCATATATGATTTTTAGTCTGTTGTGTAAAACAGGCTTGTAATTTCATATGTTAATTAAAATAAGAAATTAAAGCCACACAAGTTGTAAAATATTGTAGAAAAACAAGATCTTACAGGAAAATAATACAAATTATAATTATAAAAAAGGTATATATATATACCAGCATATGTTAAGAACTATATACAGTTATTTATTAAAAAAAAAACACACACTGAGTTTTAAAAGATGTAGTAGGGTGGAGGGTAGAGAGAGAAAACAGTCAGGACAAGTTTTTATGTAAAAGAAAATTGTTCTTTAAACCAAGAGAGGGAAAGATTGCCAAAAAGGTATTACTCTTCACATGAGCAATCATTAATGGAGAAGAACTAGTTAGATGTATGAGAGAGATAAAGCAAGTTGTGATAGAAAGTGCCAAAAGAAAGTTACCACGTATAGTAGTACAATTGGCACATAGTCAGGAAGATGTTACACAATGGGACTGTTTAAGTTTGGCCACAATATTCTAACAGTAGGAGACATTATTCATGCAATATATTATGACAATTCTCATTCATGATAAGGTTTTACATATTTACAAGTTACAAATGGCAAAACTATGGAGAGAGATAGAAAAATAAAGTCTAAAATTCTCGGAAAAACCAAGTGAAATAACTTAATATTATAGCACAGTTACAGAACAACATCCTTGATATTCAAACAATTATCCTTAATCATTTTCATGAAATTAAATGAGTATCAGCAAAACAAAATTCATAGATAATGTTAATTCTTATAAGCAGTTTTATTTTATGCTACTAAACTTTCTCAGGAACAGTTTCAACTTGGTAGTGACAGTATTTGATGTAAAAAAATTATAAGGCCCATGACAACCAAGACCAATTATCAAACTGAAGATAACAAATGTATGATGCAAGCAAATTCATGACATGTACAAAAGAAGTCTTGTTTGAGCAAATATCAAAAGATACTTTTTTCATCTGAAAGGTTACTCCTATTTTGTAAGTAACACATCAGAGACTATAAAACTTACGCCACACTGCCAGTAAAATTAACTCCAGCTAAATGTGGGGATGAGCAGATGGTATTACCAAACACAGGCCCATCAGCAGGTACAAAGTTTATAACACCAGGTGGAAAGCCAGCTTCTCTCATCAGCTTGAAAGTGATGTAATTGGCTAAAAGAGCAGTGTCTGATGGCTTCCAGATGACTACATTTCCCTAAATATAAACAAAAATGGATGGCAACACCATATGCACAGGGTTTTAGACTTTATCCTTGGATGAAGAAAAAGAACTAAACTAAAATTAAAGCCATTATGTGAAACAAACAAGTATCCTTTGATATTATTATGTTTTTCAAAACTGTTCACAAAAGATATATTTTTTTTAATTTATTTTAAAAGACATGTTATTAAGTACTCAAATTTACACTTTTAAATCATTTGAGTTCTACAGGTAGTATTTTAAACAGAGCAGACTTTGCTAACATTAAGATACAAAAATCAAAAAGCTACATATCAACTTATACACAAGACCCATAAAACAAATTACTTTACTTCATCAGCTACATGTTGCTACATGTGCTTAATTCTGAAGAAATTACACTTGTACACTAAAGTGAAAATTTTTTATCACATTATTTAAACATCTAATTACACATACAGTACTTAAATTATCAATAATCAAAAGAAAAGGCAGCAATACTGTATCTATTTTTACTATTATTTACTTTTTACTTCTTTAAATTGGATATTCCTGCTTGCAAAGTTTTATGATGGTTAGGGAAGAATGTTTCTCAGGCAGCCCAGTTTGGTAGAAAACTGGTGTCCAAATGTAATAAGCCAAAGGTTGTAGGACAAGTTTCTTATCCTTTCAGATCATTTCATTTGTGCTTAACAAATTAATAACCTACCTTCAAAGTGCACTTAAAGTGAACAAGTAATAATATTACATATATCCTGTGTTAAGAGTTTGGCTGATTAGTTACATGGCCTGCTGTTGTTTGTGCATTTTTATCAGCTTTTGATGAACCTGATATGAATTTTCCATCTAAAGCTACCAAAGTATGAATATCTTAGTCCTGAAGTACCTAGTAACATATTATTCTCACACTACCAGAAGGAATTAAATATTCAAGATATTAGGCTATTCACGAAATACTTTTTAATATGCTGGTCCATTACAATATGATGAAACTTCCATAAGTTTGGATGAGATACAATGCTGAAAGTCACATTTGTTTTCTTTTGTTTGCTCACTGAGTCACACCAGTTTTAGGGAATTTTAACCCCTAATTAATCAAAAGCTTTCATTTAGACAAAAGTAGGAAAGAGTGAAATTATCCCCTGTCTAAAGGATCAATTTAAACCATATCAATAGTGTTTTTAATGTATATTTTATACTTTATAGAGGAGAAAAAATATTTTAAAATTATTAATACAGTAATACAAACCATAATTGTAGGAGCTGAGGCTAGGTTTCCACCAATGGCTGTAAAGTTAAAAGGTGAAATAGATGCTACAAATCCCTGTACAAAAAAAAATAAAAATCAGGCAAGTTTATCAGATTAACACACATCTCTTAAAGATGAAGAGCAAAAAATTTTATTACTCCTGTAAGACAAGGCTGCTTAAATAATATATCTAATGTTAAGCCCATGTAAGAACCTAGCAAGCAGGATATAGTGTCACAGAAAATTGTGAACCATGGGTCACAGCTGGGGTCTCATCAAAACTTGTGTATTTTTGTGAAATTAAAAAGCCTAATTTAGAAACAAGTACAAAATTACGAAAATAAACACAGTAGATATGCAATCATTTCTAAATGAATTTTGTTTTATAATTGATTGTTATACATAATACAGATAGGTGCTTTAAGCAAAGTAAGATTCATGGCTATCAAGTTTCGAGTTAGCTTGTGTTTGTATATATCATCATATCTCAGATTAGTATTAATGTTTTTTAATGGCTGTTGTTGAAACCTCAGTCAATGTGAAATAAAAGTTATTATCACTATTCTTCTGGATTTTGTACACTTTTAAAACTGGGTGATTTATGCCTGTATTATTTGAGCATTAATAATGCCTTGTTTACTTCTGTATATTGATTTAGAGAAAACATACAGCTAATTTGGTTAATCATCTTTCTTTTGGTTTAAACTTGAAGATGCAAAATATAAAAAAGCTTATTTTCATTTCAAATTGCTAGATATTATAAACAACAGACAGGCAAGCCTCTCTGAAGACTTCATTTAAAAATGTAATGCATACTTTTTATCCAAATACATTATTCTTTGACACAAAGGAAAGTAGAATACAAGATATTGAAATTTATCAAAATTATGCATGTTAGAATTTCGCACATACAGTAAAACTCAAACTTTTACAAGGACTCACATGTGAATGAGATTAAACAAAATCACCTATGATGCCACAATATTTGATTTTGCTTTGGAAAGTTATGGATATACATGGGCATTGGACTAACAGATTATTCAAAAATAAAAGCTTTAATATAAGCCATCAAACATTATGCACATCTGTAGAAACTTAAAGATTAAGCCTACTAATACAAACATTTTAAATCAACACATGTCCTGCTTTACATTCTGTAAAGGTTCTTTGGTGTAGTTTATTAATGCATTTTTAAAAAAAATTGACATGGTTAATTTTTTTAGTATACAGTGCAATCTAAGTTGTTGATAATAACTTTAATGTCAACACTTTAATATTTAAGTACAACATCAACTATTTAAACAAGCATAACTTGAACATGCTGGCAACCACCTAAAACAGTGAAACTAGAGAGACCCCCAGAGGAAGGCAGATTCACAAGAAATTTTATACTTTCTCTTTTGTTAGATTCAATTATCTCACTAGGTTTAACACTTTGCTGGAAACTGTGGTCATAAATGCTAACACTGCACGATACAGTAGAAATTACAAAAAATACTTCTATTGAACCATAAAGATGTACTTTACACTTCTACTGCCAAAAAGGCAAGGAACACACACCAGGTTCTTTTAAATCTAAAAATTTTTACTTACACTTAGTAAAAAGATATATAAGTCACACAAAGTTGTGGCATTTTACTCATGTAATGTTATTTATGTGTGTGTGTGTGTGTGTGTGTGTGTGTATATATGTTTTCATATAGCAAAGCCACATCAGGCTATCTGCTGTGTCCACTGAGGGGAATCTAACTCCTCATTTTGGCATTGTAAATCCAAAGACTTACAGCTGTCCCACTGGAGGACTACTTATGTGAATTGACAGTAATAGTACTGGTAGTTCATGTGGGAGGGTGGTACATTAGAAATGTTATTTTAAAGTATGTCTAGGGCAACAAAATATCTAAAATCCCCACTATCTTTAAATCCTCATAAATTACATATATGCCAAGAACATACACATCAACTATAAATGTTACCAAATTGCACAATAAAATATGAAAAAAGAATAAACTGAAAATATTACAGTCGAACTGGTGTAAATTGTTTAGCTACAGTTATTCAGTTTCTTATACTTTTAAAGCATTTCAACCATTATTTTAAAAATAAAAAATGGGCAAGGTGACAGAGGGCCAGTTAGTTGATCAAGGTTATGAGTTAGCTCATATGAATGACTAAAACATAAAATAAATGCAGTATTTTATCTTCATATGTCTACCCAACAAAAAGTTGAATTCAGCATATACCAACTACCACACGAATAACGATAACATTTTATCATCAGCAAAAATTGTGTAAAACACATACTTATAAATGAGTAAATGTTACTTTTTTCCATAACTAGAACTGTAATTAACTACCTTAGAAAATATGTCAGATTTAAATTGTTATAATTTTTCAGTAATTATAAAGAATACATCATGAAAAGATGCTCAACAAGTAAATAAGTATATTACCTCAATTCCACGATGTCTAAAAGTGTTCACTGATACTGAAGGAGTGGGACTTAGTGGCTGATATTTCATCAATTCCTTAATGAAGAAAAAAACGTTCAAATTTCATCATAAAGAAAAAAAATCCTAACAATTCTACTTACTGGTGAGATGAAAATAGAAATATTTAATATTTCAATGAAACTAAATTTGTGCTTATTTCAAAATTCAAAATTAAAGAAAAAAATCAACAGATATTTGACATATTTTGGCTATTTGAACACACTGTATACAGTATCATTTTGAAACATTAAATTTATCATTAAAGCTGTAACATCATGAAGGTTTCAATGGATGAATGTAATTCTTATAAAACAAACAATCTTGAAATGTTGTGATAATCTTTAGTGTGCAAAACTACGAAAACAGGGATTTAGGGCCTCTAGCACATGGAAGTCAGACAATTTAAGTGTTCAGAGAACCACTTAAATGGACATATTCACAACAAAATATTTACTGTACATGTTCAAACATTTGAAATTTCCATCATTGCATGAATTCATTAAAATTGGTTCCAAAATATAACTCGCAAAGACAATACATGAAGCCAAGCAGATAACAAGACGTACTGAATTGTTTTATAGAAATGATGATTTTTCTCTCCATCCAGTTTCAGCTGAACTTATTTTTAACATCTTTTGAAATTTTTTACAAAACAATTTCTTATTCCAAAACCTTTGTATAGTACAAGTTAACATTTTCCTAGATTTAAAATGTATTTCCAATAATACTTACCTCCGCTGACACTTACAGCTATCACTCAACTTTGTCCATCTATATATTGGTCCGAGTTTTTCTCGCTTGCTCCAATATTTTATACCTCACTCAATTGCCCTTGTGATATGCTCCACCTACGTGAATGGGCCTTCTATTCTGGTACTGTATACAAGTACCTTATTCACATAATTTTATCACTTTTTCAAGACTGATTCCATCCCAGTCTCTAACACTAGCTTTTAGTGAGGAGGAAGGATGGGAGTGTGTCAACATTTTCAATTTAGGAAAATGTTAACTTCCAAAACATACTTACCTCCGCTGACATTTATAACTAGAATCCCACACTGAGAAGGTGGAAGGGTCAGTGAGAGCATTATCCATACAGAAAGTGTCTGCATAGATCATGGGTGTGCTAAGAGAAGATTGGTAACTGATAACAGGTATGCTCTTCACCCTGAACTTAGTTCCTGTATAAAGGGTGGAATAGTACACGAGTAATCATCACAATAGGCCAGCCCCAACCAGACAGCCAAGGTTCCACAACTCAGTGTTGGAATTAAGAGGTCTATATCCCACTTTGATGACTAGGACAAGGGGACCGCAACGTTATATATAGATATACTTTTGATTGGATCCCAACCTGTAGCCATAGAGTGATGAATTCCAAACCACTGGAATCACAATGAGAAAGTAAGCAACACCAAACCAAACAAACTTTTTCCTCCACCTAAAGAAGCCCAGGCTCGGAATGATGGGATCATGTATGCCTTACTCTACCAAAGAAAGAGACCTCATCCAGTGTGGAATTTTGAACATTCTTCCTCACTCCCTAACTGAATGGGCAAGGAGCCTTCCACTTGCTCCCAGAATTATGGAGAGGATGTGGAACATTGTGCTCCACCAAGGACCCAGGATGGGACCACTCTGCATTTGGAATTATGAGGAGATAGTGGACCTCCTTTCATGAATAATATACTAAACCAATATTAGTCAAAAGAAGGGCCATGCACATCAGAACTGGATAGCCGAGTGTCAAATCTGAACTGGTATTACGAGTAAGCTCCCTCTTAGGCCGGTGCCGCTCTTACTGACAATTGGGGAAAAAACCATTCAGGTACCAGAACTCCGGGTAACAGATGAATTGGTGGAAAGACATAGAGGTGCAATCCTGTCCAATCTTGACTGAATTAATCTATTGCTAAAGTCCAAAGATGAGGTACCAAGGGCCAAAACACCTGTAGTTGAGAGTTCCAATGAGTGGCAAATGTATTGATCATTGGAGTCCCGAACTGAGAGCAAATCCACCAGAAAACCTCATTATGGAGCATCCATTCAGTCAGGAGAATTCGATTGGGTTGAGGCAGGTGACGAGATGGTGCCAGAAGTAACCAGTCATCCATATAATGTTGTGGGCACAGGCCCAAAGCATGAAGTTGATGAGAAAAAGCTCGTACAACTCTGCAGAAGAAATATGGTGCAGATGCTAGGCCAAAGGGCAGAGCCCTGAACTGCAGTACCTGACACTTGTGCACAAAATGTATTATAGATAGCTGCAAGATGACTTCACTATGAGAATGTGGAGATATGTATTGGCAACATCGAACTTAGTCATCCACAGACCTGGCAAAAAATACCAACGTAGATTGAGAAAGGATTCCATTGTAAACCTGGGAGGATCTGAGAATTGGTTGAGACGAGAAAGATTTACGATTGATCGCCAATCTCCCATCTTCTGTGGCACAACAAATGAACAAAAATAAAATCCTAGAAGAAGAAGATCAACTCTCTCTACTGCTCCCTTGACCAATAACTCTCTAATAGCCATGGAACGAAGAACCACACTCCATGGATCTGTTGGGGTGGAAATACCACTGGCTGAGAGGATAATGGAGGTGGAGAAGTGAACTGAATGACCAACCTCAATGCCAGAACCTGAAGTACCCATGCATCTGTGGTGAAGGATTTCCAGGAGTCCAGAAGATGTTGTAACCTTTCTCCCACAAACCCAACCCACATAGGATAGTTACTGATGTCATTGGCAACAGTCTGCTCAAGCAGAGGAGCCTCAAAAATAAAAACAGAATCTATGCTGAGTACCAATAGATTGAGGAGCAGAAGCCGAGGGTCGTGACACATGATGAGCAGTCATGCCATGACTTCCAGCAGGAACCTAAGAAAGTCTAGAGGCCAACAAAGACAAGGAAGGAAAAATGCAAATGAGCGACATCAATTCATGATTCCAACACCTCTGGGAAACCTGTGAAGATTAAGGGACAAAGAAAACGAGCCTCACGTAACTCAGGGAGAGCTAAAGCAGGTAGACAAACTCCCTCCAACAAGGCATCTCTACCCAGTAACTCCAACAACATATAAGCCAGGAAACCAAAGGAAGAGCAGAAGCTAACAATATTACCAAAGTATTACCAAGGTCCAGTCTGGAACCCCACATATCCAGTCTTTGGGAATCTATACAAACGTCCTCCTGGCAGTGGTAAGCCAAAGCATGCTGTTCAGACAAATGTGGGGGAAAAGGCATAGCAATCCCATCATGTAATTGAACAGTAAATTTTCCAGCATGAAAAAGGAAAAACTAAGTAGTCACCTTCAGACCTTTCAGCCATCAAGAAAGGAATAGATTCAAAGGCAACTGGAGAAAGCCACAATACCACACAAACCTGATTGACTAACTGAAGAAATGGAGCAGGAAGTGGCTGCTCCAAATTGGCCTCATGAGAAGCCTACCTAGTAAATGAATGTAGAAGAAAGAGAGAATCCAAATTCTCTTCAGACTGTCCTGGATTACTGGCAAAAGTAGCCTCAGAACCCACTAGAGAGATGCCCCAGGACCAGATATATGTCTCCATCTCATAACAAATCAGTTCAGAGACAGACTCAACTGAGAGTGACCCCCCCCCTCGACCTTTGAGAGATGTTTGATAACAGAGATGGAATACAGGAGGGTTGATTAGCCTCCATGCTGGAAACAGTAACTTGTGAATTTGTGCCTGACAACAGCGTGTCTCAAAATTTTTATTTTTTTAGTAATAATTATTAAATATAATTTATAGAGAAAGCCACAAGGTGATGCAAATATTGCAACCAAGGGTGTTAGCTAATGCAACAATTCTGTAGAGAAACGTGTGTCTGAACACTTTGTTGAGAAAAAGTGATAAAAATTATCTGAATGAGGTGCTTCTATACAGTAACAGGATAGAGGGTGCATTGACGTAGATGGAGAGTATCATGAGATAAATATTGCCAAGACTGGAGCAAGTGAGAAAAACTCAGACCAATGTTTAGATGGGCAAAGTTGAAACCCTGGTAGTCAAGTAATAGCTATAAGTGGCAGCAGAGGTAAGTATCTTTTGGAAAGTGGAAGTTATTAGACCTGTTTGCAGAGGTTATGATAAATCAAATCAATGTCATAAAATAAGTTGTCATTCTTACAGAGATGCTGTAAATCATTCTGTTCATGTCAGCTATTCTTTTATGATGTAAAAATGATTATATTTCAGCTTTTTTCTTTTCATAATCAAAGCAACAAGCTCTAATTTATTTGTGCAAAATCATAAGACTACCCCTCTTCCCTTCCTAAACATTTAATCTTGGAGTTACTTTATTCTCAAAAGCAATTCAAATGTACAAAGGAGTGGGAATTAAATACACCATAAACTACAAAACAAGGTTATATTTACTTTGTTTAACATTTCATTTCTACATCTTCTACATGAGTGACCTAATTACTAGACTCACAATGAGTAACAGACTATACACTTTTAAATTTGTTCTATAAACCAATAGAGAGCAGGAACAAGGTCACATGCATAGTATTTTTTACACTGATACACATCAAAAATATAAAACATCATTAACAACATCTAATGACACAAATGTAGGTGAGTAGCTTAACATTATAGTGAAAATCATTTTAATAATGACATAAAAAAGATCATAGAATAATCAAATCTAAATTAAATTAAAAGAAAACATAAAGTTAATTGAAAAAGTGAAGTAGAGTGGAGTAAATAAAGATTTATAATTATAAATTCCATCTGTGTTGCAATTAATTTGTAGCTTAATTTCAAAATAAGTAAAGAAAAGGACAGTAAGATGTTGGTCTGCTATGTTTTTCTATACAATGGTCCATTATGGCACTGGCACCTCTACTGAATTGATTTATGGCTCGTGTGTGTTCAAAACTTCTATTATGTAATGAATGAGACATTTCTCCAGTGTAAAATTCACTGTATATTCTACAAGTTATTTTATAATAAACATTTATATTGTGAATTTATCACTTGCTCCTGCACCTATAACAAAACATTTATTTTCTAGCAAGCATTATCTAGATTGTAAACAACATATTGGCACTCATTTTAATATTGTTTCTTTATTGCACAAGTCTTGTATGTCACTCTGATGTTCATAGCACAGATTCTAGGCCTCTTTTGAAGTCTGTCGCTAATTTATGGGATAGTCCAAGTAGCAAAGTTACATGTTTCATCTTTTCTACAAATACCAAAAGTTCCCCTTTTAATTTTCTTTGAGTCACTTTTGAATGAATGATAAATAAAACTATCTGAATAACTTGTCTGTGGCAGCTGCTTTTTTCCATATGCTTAGGGTGATATGAATCTGAGTGTAAGAAAGCCAGTGTAGAAAAGAGGTTTTGTTTACACTTGTTTATTATAAGTTTAGTTTGCAAAGTAAAGTAGGCCATTTCCTGTCAAGCGTTATAGTGTACAAGTTATGTCATTATGCAAGTTGTTCAAGTATCTGTGAAATGTTTCCAGTCTATGTAAGTATAAAATCTCTCCTCAAGTAGATGTATAAACAAATCATTGAGTGAAATAAACATTACCTTATTTTGGAGTTTATGGTTGTATTTTAATCATAAAATATCTTAGTCCTGTCAGCACTCAGTAGTATAACTTTACGAGTAAATACACCATATATTTAGATTTATTTACACTGTGTTAAAATATAAAATGTACAAAGTAAGCACTATGGTTCATTTATTTCAAGTATGTTATGTTCAGTCAGCAAAATTTTTCTCATTTTAAGCTTGGCTTACTTTCTCGCTATAAGGTCGGTGAATTAGACTTACCTCGTAACCATTTTGTACTTGTTATAAGTTTACATACTATAACTTTTAATACAGTATCTTTATAAAATTTGGGAGATTTTTTGTTCACATTACAAGTCTTTTGTACATAAAAAATATTTTTAATGAAGGATTTTTGCTAAAAACTTATCCATGAAAATAAACTCTTTTTTTTACTAGTCTAAGTGCAAAGTGATTTCCACTTTAAGATTAAAAATACTTTCTTCCTCTCAAAAATAACAAATTTCATTTGTATACTCTCTAAACCTCCTAAATAAATTTCAAACGTTTTTGACCACCCTTGTAACCACTGAAAAAATCTAAATAAATCTAAATTACCCCTTTTCCTTTCTAGAATGACATTAAATTGTAACATGAAACTAACTTGTTTATCTTAAATACCTTTACACCTTGTAATACTATGCATATATTTATATACTTAAATTTTATTGTTTTACTGCTCTTTAAACTGTGTCTAACTACTATTCACACCATAGGTTGTAAATCACCTGGCAGACATGCAGCTCATATTATGCTATCAAATTACATTACATACGAGCTACACACGAGCATACCTCATGAAACTTTGTTATTTTATTATTATCATTTATTTTACCTAATCTAACTTTAACTAACCTAAAATATTTCCTATTTTTACATTTTATACATAAATAAACAGCAAATAAAGTACTTAGCTAGGTTTTTTTTTTGCTGTCGACTGTTGATGACACTTAACCAAACTTTTCTATACTAATGATAGTACTGCACTAAATAATTTTTTGTTTGATCAAATAATGCACCAAAGAACACAGAATAATTACATGCAAAAAGCAGACAATGTCCCATAACTATCACAAGTTCATTGAAGTGTTTTCTGTGGGAACAAAGTTTGAACTGGTGAAATCTGACTGGGTAAAACCTTGGCTTTCTGTTGGTGATAAATAATATAGTATAGAATGTCAAAAAAAACTACTGGCAATTTCTGAAAGAGAGGATGTGACAAATGGGTGTAACAAAAGGGGTATGATTTTCTATTTGATAACTCTGTAATCAAATAAGAATGAAGGCTATAAACATTATGCTATGCTAGAGTGATGACAACATTATAATGAGTAATTTACATTAAATTTCATACTTTCTGTAGGGGTAGTAAATACATTAGAGAAGAGGGGATGCCTTGAGAGAAAATGTCACAATTCTCATATTAGGGGAAATTCAGGATTTTTTAAAATATTGCCTTATAAAAATTAAGAACTTAAAATATATATATACTATTAAACTTTAGATTATTAGCTACATTTATTAGTATTCGTGAAAAGAAAGTAGTCTAAATTTTGAATGTAACTCACTAAAACCTTGTGACATGCACAGAAAAAGATGTCTGCGGAGAGAGAGAGGGTTAATTGGGTTTTTTTTTGTTTTTGTATTAAAATCACTAAAACATTCTGGCAATCAGATTTAACCAAATAATTTGAATGAAAACTGTAGATTGTGCTTTATATTGAATCAACTCAGTACATCCTACTGATGTAGTGCACTTTTTAAAAAGATGTAACTAATATTTTTATATTATTTCCTATAAAAAAGTAATAACTTATTAAAACAGTCTAATGATACAGACTAAATGGGTTTCAACATCATAACATGAAGAAAAACATGGTATCTACATCAACTGTAGCTCCTTATGTCTACATATAAATACCACTGACTCCAAAAAAAAAAATTAATCATAAGCCTAATGCATGAAACTATTAATTGAACTTCATAAGTAAAATTACTCAAACATTTTTTTTATTAAAATATACCAAAGAGTTTTAGTGTTATTGAAATACTTCAGCCATAGCTCTAACGAATGTAATTAAGAATTTAATACACTTCTTTTGTCAACAGATGTCAAATTATTTCTTAATTTTATTCTAGCACTTTCTACAAAAAAGTGGTAGAAGTATTAGTGTTTTCTGAACAACTCCCACAGCAAACCAGCAATTTATAAACGTTTTTGAGAGCCAAATCCAACTTTTGTATGAACATTTTAGTAATTCATAAAATTATCAAATACAGTTGTAATTTAAGATAAGGTCTTCTGAATGCCATCCAGGTATATATGATTGTCCAAAGATCCATACAGAAGGTTGTCTCGTCAGACCAATAGTGTCAATCATATTACTCATGTCTTATAATCATAAACTGGTAACCATTTGGGTGAAAGTTATGGATCATTTAATTCATACTAAGTATACCACAAAACATAGTCTTATGTTTTCTAATGACACATATAAGATTTGATAGAAATGTATACTATGCTAAATAAACATTGCAACTGGTGATATATTTAGTTTATAAAAACAGAAAACAAATGATGAGATGATTCCCAAAGTTAGTTTTTCAGCAACTATTGAAATTTGCCATTAGTGAGTCCCACTTTCTTTTTGATGGTAACATCTATGACCAAACTTATGGAGTTGCTAAGGGTCCAGATTGGCTCCTTCACCAGCTAACTTAATTTTGTGCTAACATGAGAAACAATGGTTGAAGAACTATCCATATAATTTCAAACCAATATACTACCTAAAGTATATGAATGATACTTTTGTTATTACCCTCTCTCCTCTCTGGGTGGAGGGTATTGTAATTGGGTCCATTTGTGTGTCTGTCTGTGTAATTGCGCTTCTGTCTCGAAAACTAATAGACCGACGTACATGAATATTTACACAAGATGGGATGTCAATATGGAACAGTATTTGGTCTGGATCACTTTAATGCATTTTTTATAATAGGAAGATAGAGCATTTTTGCAGTTTTGGGTTAATAACTCTGTAAAGCGTGATCAGATTTGAACTAAATTTCCTAAGCACATTAAGGTTAAGACTCCTCATCACACTACAAAACATTATCTGGATCATTGATCATTCTGGTTCTGAGAAGGATTTTCTGTGTTTACAAAGGTGAAATTGGATGGTATGTAATATAAACACATGCAATATCGAAAAGAAGTGTAGGGGCAAGAGTATGCATCTCTGATTGCATGAGTTGGTACATGTAAATCAGTTTTTTGAGTATCTGAATAGTCAAAATGATAATAAAAAGTTCAATTTGGAACATCAAAAGAATTAGAAATTTGTTTTCTTGGATGTTTTAATATACAACTACATGGGAATGTTGTATCATGAAGTTTTTTCATAAAAAAACTTAAAGGACTGTATTTCAATTTTCAGAATAAAGATATTCTTCTAAAAATTTTAATCCATCATTTCTATAAAATCACAAGCACTTCCAAATATTTTTATAATGAAGTGGAAAATATAAGACTATTTTTAAAAAAAAGCATGATTTCATGTGTATAATTACAAGGAGTTCATGTATCAAAACAACAATTATGAATGTACCTGAATTATAGCTGTCAGTGGGGTTGTCATTCACTGAAAAACATTTTTTTATTTTAATAAGAAAACAGTTACATAAAAATTTTCAGTCTACCCTCAAATAGACCCAAGTTATTTTCAAAGTTGAATGAAAATTGCAAAATATTTTTAGAGATAAGATTTATGTACAAAAGATCTGATTTTGTTTTTGAATTTAATTGTCCTAGTTGTGATGCTATGTACATAGGACTTACCATTAGATGACTTCTAACTCGAATGCAGTAACATGCAAGTCTAGTGAATGATACCAAGCAAAGTATAAAAAAGAACACTTGTTAGCATAATGCAGAAGTGATTTGTTCACGATTTTAGCAAGAGATATTATTAACTTATCAGTTTAAAACACAAATTAATCAAGTAGCATCATCCATAAAATTGTAATATAAAATACTGAAGAAAAACCAATTTTACCTTTGCAAAGTATGCATTAAACCTGTAAAAGTCAGCAAGTTCTGCAGCAGCATCAATCTCAGCTTGGACAATAGTTTTGCCCTAAAATAGGAGAACATCATTACTTCTTACAAATTTATATTTCCAGGCTTTAAATTAAAACATTTTAAATCTTCAAAATATACCAACTTTTTGTAAACGGTTAAAGGTAACTATTCACACCTTAATAAATTATAAAAATAATTTATATTTGAAAACAAAGTAATGTAATGGTGTATTTAAGTGTTTTACACTCTATTAAAAAATAATGTAACTTATAATTTGATTTTTTTTTTTGGTATCTGAAATGAAAATTTGAAAAGAATAATTCATCTAGAAAGATACCTGTCAATGCAAAGCTTAAAATGTCATCTAATAACATGTCATAAGTAGAGCTGGCTGTTCCATTCCACTATTTTGAACCACTGCACAAATCATTCTGTTCATTGCAAACGTACATGTTATACACAGCATTAAATCTCACTTCCATTTGCCCTCATTTTCCCATATTAGCTACTGACTCTCTTGCTCAGTTAAATCCTTATTTACAGCATTAATTCAGTAAAGTTGAAATAGCTGTTAAACTTCAATTCATTTGTTCAATTGTTTACACATTTAACTTTATCACACCCACATGGGTGCATGCTGCAATGAAAATAAAAGAAGTTGCACGAATGAATAAAACACTTATTGGAAATAAACTTGTAGTTATTCTTCCACAAATTAAAATTAAAGAAATATGTCAGAGTTGAAACTTATTGAAAAGTTTTATTTATTTAACTTTATTGGTAAAAAATGCCTTGAATTACAAATTTTGATTTTGGGTTGATTTCAGCATACTCAGGTTGAAATCACTTATTTTTGTGAATTTTCTGAATTCTGTCTGAGCATAATACAGCACTCCTAGCCCCATATCAGGAAAGCCATAATAGTTTTGAATAAAATAGCACTAATGTGACATTGTATCTTAAATATAAGTGAAGTTTTGATTTTTAGCCAACTACTGTTTCCCAACTTTGGTTGCCATTATGCAATATAACTGCCTATATCTCAGCTTCAAGAAGCTACAAGTACTGACTGAAATACATACTGAAAGCTCCTTTTATGTTCTTTTCAACTTTATGAGTTGATATGGCTTCCAATTTAGCATAAAATTGTGTACAGATTAGAAGAAAGTTATAAAAAGCTTAACTTGGTGATATGTTTCTAGAAGAGATGTTTTTTTTTTTATGGAATACAATGAGAAAAGCTTAACTCATTTTGCCCTCAACAATATCAAGATTCATTTTGCCAAAAAGACCACTATGTTAAGCTTTTTTTTTCATATTAGGCCTCATTAGCCTGAATAACTGTTTGAAAGGGCAAAGGAAATCACCAAAAAAGGGGGGGGGGATATATATATATAAATTAATATAAAACAGGTTTGAAACTTTTGACATACATTAAATGAAACCTTATAATTAACAAGTTTACACAAGAACTGATGCTTATAATTATGTTATGACAAAAAAAACTGTTTATTGTATGCAAGTGATTATAAGCAATGTTAACCCTATAACTACCAGTGCCACTTTTAAATTCCTTTCTGCATATGGAAATGAGTTACATTCAAATTGCTGTCACGCGACCCGCTCCTGGTAAAATTTCTGAGCTTGAAGAGCTGGTAGAGAAGAAACTGTGTTTGGAATGTAGATGCTTCCATCGGATAGTCAAAGTACACCATACATGTTTGACATTACTTTCTCAAGCACGTTGGAAGAATTTATCCCCCAAGAAACGGTTGTAAATGTTTCTTTAGTTGAGGGTCAGCCATGCCCACTTGCAAAGTAGAAGCTGCATTGCTATGCAACTGTTTTAAGTTGAATGGCATACTTATTACCAATAGAAAGAGCAAATTTCATTCTTGGAGGTCATTACTGTAACAGGAAATGAACATGTATACTTTCGTTTTCAAACAGGGCAAAATAAAGCTAACTCCAATGTTATCTGAGGTGTCAGTAGCACTTGGCAATTTTTTGTTAACTTATATGTATTTGTTTGATAGACAGATTGCATTTAGGTTTTACTTTTTATACGTTATGCATTATTTATATTTTAAAATGCATATTTGAAAGGTTTAATGATTTTATACGTTTAACTTGTTATTGCTTGGATTGTGAAAATGTATAAACATGATGGCATCATTGACATATGCAAGCAAGAGTGAAATGAATTTCTGCATGGGAGTTGCCATATAATAATAATAATAGAGCCCAGTGGGCACCAGTTGATGTATCTGCATAAATAATAAAAGACAAAGAAATAGAAAGGAAAATTAAAAATAAACAATAAGTGAAAATATAAAGACATGAAATTATTCATATGAGAAAAAGTTTCAAAAAGTATGCACATACAGTAGTCCCTCTCAGATACAACCGACCTATTTGCCATGACCAAAAAGTTGCATCTGACAGAAATTCATTTCAAAGGATCAATAACCAGATATGAGAATGACCAAATTCAAGCTGTACCAGTTGCTATTCCCATGGGTTGAGCATATACTGTATAGGTAGTCAGATAACATAGCAAATTGTTACACTGTATAATAATAGTTATGATGGATAACAGTTCAATAAAGATAACTTAAAATTGTTTTGTTTGTGTTTTATGTACAATAATTTATTCAATGATCGCATTTATTATACAAATATCTATGTATCACATTTTTATTACATACACAAAATATTACAAAATAAAAGATACACAAAATTTATTTCAGAAAATCATCCATCTTTGTTTGTTTTGGACATTTAATTGAGTCACTTTGAATGTTCATGAGTCTGGCAGTTATTATATCAAGAAGCATTTTGTTGTTAGTTTTCAGGGCACAATTTTAGTATCAATTTATAAAATAATGTGTAATAAATGTCCAGAGAAACTGAAAGAAAATTGAAAACCAGATTCACCAAACATAATAAAAAAAACATCCACATTTACCACCATTGCAACTCAAAAAAATCCACAGTACACCTATACAAAATGCTGTAATTTTAAACAAAAAAAACAAACATTGGTAGCTATCTTAATTGAAAAACAGCTTCACCCTAAACCAAAACTTCACCTTGAAACTTGGATCCTTTGATCCAAGCTCTGAAAAGGGACCATTCCACTAATTTAAAACAACCAGCCTTGAGGCATTTTATTAGCCATGCTTACTGCACAGATTAGTTGAGTCTGTCACTCAATAAACCACAAGTTAATAATCTTCACATCCCACCAGCAAATCCTAATCAAGTTACTTAATGTCTAGGCCACTAGCTCAAAATCTACTACATTCATTAAAAGAATAAATATTAATGCCACGAGCAGAGGGAAGACAGACAACAATTTCTGACCACCTCTGGTTACCTTTTAGGATCTGAAAGTTTTAAAAATGAAATACCTATGTGGACATACTAAGGAGTTTCACCCCAAGATACATATACTAAGCTGTGAAGCAATCTCTAGTCATGTGAACTCTTTGTTCCATACTGTATACACTGTATTCATGTGTGTCTGTAAATTACATTATTGATATGAAAAAAGTCATTATAGATGGGTTATTATTTGACCTTCCACCCAAAAATCACAGTCGAATGTCACATCTGTCAGGAAGTTGTTTGTGGGAGGTAAGATCAATGTAAAATTCTTCCGTGCACAGAAAAAAAGTTGTATTTAAAAGGAAGACATTATTGGGAGGGGGGTTGTATCTACCAAGGACAACTGTATTTCCATTTCTTAATTTCAAACATTTCATTGCACTGTACATTGAAGATAATAGCTTGAGTTAGTGATATAGCAGGGAAAATAGAAAATAAAATATAAACATTTATCTTTAAAAAACTTTTGATATTCATTTAAGAGGTTCTAGATATTATGCAAATGAAATGTGAAAACTGTAAAATAATAAACAGTATTTTTATACTTCATATAAAAATCACCTTGCACATGAACTATTCAGAGTCTGAGTGCATTTTACTACATTAAATGAGGAATTTTTATTAGAAATAGTAGAAAAAATCAAAACTAAATATTTTATTTTTCTGAAACTACATACTTTTAGGAATATTCTTGCCAAATTTTAAACAATTTCATTCAGTAGTTTTATTTTTGTAACGAACTATGATGAAAATGATGTTACCTTCGCTCTGATAGAGAAGCCGGAGGTCATAGGGTTAAATCACATGCATTGCTTGATCAATCAAAACCCAGATCTGACAGAATTAAATTTGATCTGTAATAGGTTTCCCTCAATTCCTCTACAAAATTGCTTCAAGCAGTTTCTCACAACCACTTATAACACCACACAGATGGACAGATACCTTTGCTTTATATATGTATAGATATATAGACTCACCTGCCCTAACATTGTTGCAGCATTCAACTCCATTCGATACTTCCCACTCACCAGGTCAGCTGCTTTCATGAAAACTTTTATCTTTTCTGAAATTGGTTGAGCTTCCCAATCTTTCCTTGCTTCAATACTTGTGTTTATTGCTTTCTGAACAACATCCTGAACAAAAAAAAAAAAAATGTAATCAAAAACATAGAAAAAATTGCAACTGAACAGTTAATTTCACCTTTGTTTCATTAAATTATGATCTAATAAATTCATTCATTTCATAACACAGAAAGAACTTTCAAAATGCAAAATAGTGACAGCTAAAAAGAGTATTATATTACAGCTTAGAAACTGATATATTTAACCCTTCCATAGCTAGAAAATTATACATATTTATATTCTGGTGAAGTACTAAAAATTCTTCTGCAGGTGTTCTACCCTTTATTAGTTGGCAATCTTCATAAACAGGATGTATAATCATAAACTTGCATTAATTTTCTATATTATAGAAATTTAAATACCACGTAAGTCACTCTGTAAAGGTTTATATTTAACTCTGTTTCTGTATCATTGCTCCACAGAGATGTGGGTTATACTCAAATTGATGGGTAAATATAGATATTTGTATAAGATTGTATGAATTGTGGTTGATTTCTCCTGAATATATATAATAGGAATGACTGTTGACATAATTAATCTAGGATTATGGAATAACACAGCAAGACTTTGGTCTGATTTAGCAATATGGTATACAAAATTCTTGTCATAGTTTGTGATTTGTGAACTTAAGAATTTTGAAGATATTACTGAACAATTTGTCTCCATAATATTTTTGGACAAGACAGTCATGAATTTTTGTTTGATTGCATTTATTTATAATATTATGACAATTTTGGTATAAACTACATAAATACATTTCTGGGTCTATTTGCAAAATCAGGCATTATTTATCTATGTTGATTTTTTTTAACTTGTGTAATCAAGTAAATAGGCATTGTTGAACAAATATGTTAGAAACCTTCATGGTAAGAACTTTTGCTCACATCAGTTAAATTAATTTCAGTTACCAATGTAATATGTTAATTTGCAGTTTTCCTTACTCTGTTCCCCCCTTGGAACCAGGGATTTGCTTTAGCAATCATGCAACAATGGAAGAATTTACATGTAAGTGAACTGGTGGTACTTGATGACTAGTTAAGTAAGCTCACTGCCGAAGTCTCGTGTGGTCAGGAGGTCTGGCTAATGTTGTCATGTGGATTAAACATTAATATGGGCTTGGAACAAGCATTCTTGCAGGAGAAAGGTGAGTGAATTCACCATTTCCACAATGAGGTGTAGAACATACAGTACATTCATCCAGATGACTTCTCCTTCAAAAGAAATTATATTACAGCCTGACTGTTCATATCCACTGGTTGCTGAACTTTTATCAAAGGTGGGGATCCACCTATGATTAGAATTTTCAAACTCTACTAAAGCCACAATTTCTTAGCCACCCTATATTAACCCTTTCAAGACAGGTCAAGGGTGAGAAGCCATGTCATTTCATTTGTTGACTCACATTCAAAATTGTATTGAACTACTATTAAATGAATTTATGTCAATAAGTTTGATATCAAACTGTAGATCATAATTCAAATTTTAGTACCATATATTACTCAATTTCTTAATTTAAAAGTAAATATTAAAAAAACACAGATAAACAATGACTTTTGTGTATCACATGGTATGTTGAATGCAGCACTGGTTCAAATTTGATGTTTTGAAAGTCAAAATACTAAGTCTATAGTTTTGTACATATTAGGAACTCAAATGACCAATATTGACAAGTTATAATATAAAATGAAAACCTCTTATCTTTTCTATTTGCTAAGATATTGCTCATGTAATAAATGAAACACAGTGGCTCCCCACACACCTCTTTCCATTTTTGGAAATGTTCCCCTTATTTACACTTACTTCTATATATGACATGAATAACCAATCAGAAGCTAAGAATGTCCCCCTAGTGGCTTTCTGAGCCATTTTAATGGGCTTGGATGGCACATCTTTCTTTTGAACCAATATTTCAAGGAGGTAGGATGTGTCTTTAGTCTGCTCAAAATTTCATATATTTTTAGACTAAAATTCATCTTAGTTACTAACCTTGATAAATTATAGTGGAATTCTATGGTATTGATGTAGTAATTTATGATTTTTTAGTTATTTAAATGTATATACAAAACGTAAAAAACTTATTTTGTTTCATATCCTCCACATGCAAAATATTTAAAGGCTTAGCAACCTATGTCAAGAAGCAACTTAGTACAAAGGTAGTAACTAGAAGAGATAATTGTTTGCTTTACTTCATTATTTATGGTTCTATGTTTCACAAAAAATAAGTTTAAGAACTTATTTGAAAATAGCAATAATCTATATATATATAATGTATAATTGAAATGTGACTGTATTTTACAAAATACTAGTCTACTAAAACACAGCCAAGACAAATTACTTTGTATAGACCAAAGGTAAATTTTATGATATTGGATACGGTAGCATGAGTGCACGTGTGCTACATCATTGTAACTT